GTGTGTGTGTGTGTGTGTGTGTGTGTGTGTGTGTGTGTGTGTGTGTGTATTCATCCTCTTGTGACCAGAATGTCCACAAATTTTAACATTATGATAAAAACACATAACTGCCACTGAAATAACACATTTTTAGAACATGAAACATGCACGGAACAAAAATATAAAGTTCCCCATGTCTGTTCAAAATATTTGTAATATAAACAGTTACAGAAAGGGAAATCTAAAATAATGAACATGTAAACAAGAATGAGCATGTTTTATCTTTTTAAACTGGATCAAACAGATCTTACCCTCCTGCTGTCCTTGGGTCAACAGGACCACCAAGACCTCAGCTTTAAGACCTTATTGGTCTTTTTGTTCCAAGAACAGGAGGAGGATAAAGTATATTATAAATATATAGTTTTTATTTCAAAACTTAAAGCTGTTTCAAAGTTTGTATTTTTGTTTTTAGTTTGAAATGCCAGAAATCAAGAGATGAACACTGTTTGTAGGTTCAGATCCGGACTGGTCTTTAAGACTGAGGGGCTCAGAGAGGTCCGATCTGGTGCTGGACCGTCAGTGAACTTCCTGCAGCTCCATGACAGCTGCTGACTTCCGCTCCTTCTTCTGGTCCGATTTCCACGTGAAGAAACCCACGATGCTGACCATGAGGGGCAGAGCCACACAGAGCAGGATGCGGCTGACGGGCAGCTCCGGGGGACACCCCCGTGTGACGGGGGGCCTCTGGGTCTGTTCCGAGGCCGAGGCCGAGGCTCGGAACAGGAAGGAGGACGTGAAGTCCACAAACGCAGCCCTGCTGACCCCTGTGGTGACCTGACACCTCCACCTCCTGCTGTCGTCCTGCGCCTGCAGCTCTGTGAGCAGAGTGATGTTGCAGCGGGTGTTTTCAATCAGCTGGTACCTGCAGGGGGGGCATCAAAGAAACTGGGGTTAGACCAGGGGTGGGCAATCCTGGTCCTGGAGGGCCGCAGCCCTGCATGTTTTACCTGTTTCTCTGCTCCAACACACCTGATTTGAAGGAATGATAATCAGGCTTCTGCAGTACGGAGGACCAAAACTGACATAATTAGAAATAAAAGCAGAATTATATAAATTAACTATTAAATAAATACATTTAGAGGCACCAATTAGAGAACTTTATCTCCTGTTTTATATTTTAATAGACAGTCAATATTTATTTTTCCAGTTTAGTTTCAATAAATTAGTCTACATATTTTTACACATATTTTAAATTTTACTGTTTTTTAAACATATGTATTAATTGTTTTTCCTTTACGTGTACATGTCTCTTAAATGTTTATACTTAATTATG